ATAATAATAATAATAATAATAATAATAATAATAATAGGACTTAAAAATTGAAATTCAACGACTATGGCACAAACCAGCAGTGGTAATTCCAATGGTAATTGGCACACTGGGTGCTATTCCAAAAGCACTGGAATTACATTTAAAACAGTTAAAAATTGACAAAATCTTTATCAGTCAAATGCAAAAAGCCGCACTGCTTGGATCTGCACACATATTATGAAAATACGTTACGACATCCTAGGCCCCTGGGTGGGGCCTGACTAGTAATCAATGCCAAATCCGACGAAGCAACTGGCCACTGTGATACAATTTTGTTGTTGTGATGATGATGATGATGATGATGATGATGATGATGATGATGAATGCTTTATTCCAAATTAACTTTATTTCTCTCATTGTCTCAGCTATCCTTTAACCTTAACACAAATCCATGATTTACTGAGTCTGGAAACTGGAAATTTCATTGTGACAATAGATTGATAAACTGCTCCTCTGCTAAGCTATCAACTGACAATAGCAAAACCAAATAACCTGAAAAGATTGGTTTACCAGACAAATAACTTCTTCAGTCACATTTTCCCACACCCACAAATAGGCTGCCCATACACCATCTACAGTATATACAATGAAAGGTAAGCCAGCAGACACCAGGAAGGACAATTATGTTTGACCTGGTGACAGAGTCACATGCTAGAACCAAAACGTAGACAACCCATGCGCACCAAAGCCCACACAAATTACCAGTCCCTCTATAAAAAGTTTCAGAACCCCATTTTTCTCTGTAACCCGTAAGAACAAACCTCTTGTTGGGAAATAAACTGATCCACCTCCAGCGTGCCTAGTGTTTTATTTGCCTGTGTGCTCCCATCTTGGAGAAAGGAGATATATTCTTTTAACACAAACTTCGAGCAAAAACCTACCTGATAATGAAAGATTCAGTAAAAGGGGGATATACAACTACAGGTCAATTATCTGCTTACCATCAATTTTCTAATTGCTAACTTGTGTAGTAGCCAATGCAGTCCAATAGCATCCAGTTGAAAACAAGCTCCTTCCAACTCAACAGAAATTTTGGCTGCAGAAGACCAAACTTTAAGAACAAATGCATACAGTATGCAGTAGTTATGTGCATTCCTAGAATGGTGCATGTTATGTTTCTGCTCTGCTTCTCAAGGCTCCAAGATGCTGGTTTTGATCTCTTAAAGCCTTCATAGATTATTTGAAGGACATCTCTCCCCAGTTACCTAGGTGCACTCCATTAGATCTGCCAGAGAATGCATGCTAGGATACTATCAGCTAGGGACCTACCATATTTTTTGGGCTGTAAGACGCACCGGACTATAAGACCCAACTAGATTTACAGGAAGAAAAAAATTTCACCCACTTTTTTTTGGGGGGGGGAGTGCATCTTATACTTTGAAAAATATGGTATATTTGGTGGGTGCAGAAGACATACAGTACTTTCTTTGCTGTGATGTTTGCCTTCTGGAACATTCTTCCCTGCCAGATTATATTATCAATATCCTTTTGATATTTCAGAAAACCCACAAGATCTTGTTATATTAGTTCAGTTCAGTTCAGTTCAG